TGATCCAGCCTCATCTACAGAAGAAGTGAGTATAATGTTTTGTAATGAATCTTTGCAAATCGCCTTTCCTAATAATGTGCTAATGAGCAAGTTTCGCGATGAATACTGCTAAAGTAAACAGTCCCTCATAGAGCAGCTCGGAAGAGAGGGGCGGGGTCAGCAGAGCTCATTAACATTTAAAGGAAAATGCTACAAAAACGGCATGCTCTGAAAAGAGCTGTTTTTGACAGGGTAAAAAAAGGTGTTTTTTACACTAACATTGAGAAATTTTAACCAAACTATGTTACAGACTTTTCATGAAGACCCTAAAGAATCATATCAACTTGTGGAAAATGGGCATCCTATGACCCCTTTAATAAGATTTGAGGGTAATATTTTAACCAAATTACAGTTTAAATTTATGTGTTCGTCTATTTCTTACACAATGATATCATATGGCTTTGAAGGCTTAGAATATAGTGCACAAATCTTATTTTTATGGAGATGTTTTGGTCATTTTTGGAGCTCAAAAGTGTCCCATTTCCAGTTTATTTTGTTGGCAAGAGCATCTGGCACATTCAGCTAAACTTTGCTTTTCTGTTCCACCAAAAAAAGAAAATCATTCAGGTTTGGAACAACATGTACATGATGACAGAATATTCATTTTTGGGTGGACTTTCTCAAAGTTTTCTTAATGTTTTCAGTAGACGCAGACTCTCTGTTTTCCAAGTGGCCCACAGCAAAGAAACACAATATAGTCAAACCAAATCAGATACTATCATCAGTATTCAATGCAGTACTGCACGGTAACTGAATTCAATAATGTTGATGAAACTTCTCTTGCATTGCACCGAATTTGACCTCAGTTCCTGTGAGTGTTAGGCAAATTGGAGTAAATGATGCTTGTATGTTTACTTGTGGTTGTTTACCAGAGCTACTGGGTAAAGTCGTGCTGCTTGCTTTCTCTGGCTGCATTCTCTATTGACCTGCTAATGTAAACAGAATTTTGCATTAAAACTGGGCAGCTTTTCTGGTGCAGATGGTAGATTCCTAGCAGAACATCACTGTCCAAAGCACAGATTTCTGGGTAAATATTGAGGAACGCTGGGAGGGAACTTGTGTGCAAGGGGTGAAAACTTCTGAAAAAATATTCTGCAACTTGCATGCTTTATATGCTGACTGTCCAGGAATTTTTATGATGCTTGTTAGAGCTTAAACATTGTAGTTTGGAGCCAGTTTCTCAATCCACCTCATTTTAATGCCAGTTTATATTCTGTTTTGGAGGAAGCGTGATTTATTGGTTGAGGTCCGGCATAAATCAGTTGCCTCTCAAAATAGTGTTTCAGCCGGAAGGATGAATCAGGAAAATGTTCATTTAAAATGTTGTTGATGATGAGTCTAATTTGGAGTCTAAAGTCTTTTTTTTATGTATTCCTGCCATCCTGTGTCCTTTTTTTCCCATTTTGCCTTTTTCTGAGTTATGCCTCTGTTATTTCCAACAGGAAGTTGGCTGTGACAGACAACTGGGAAGCAACGCTAAAGAGGACAACTGTGGCGTGTGCGCTGGAGATGGTTCCACTTGTCGACTGGTTCGAGGCCAGGCTTTGCCCCACGTGTCACCTGAGGAACGTAGGTACACGCATACATGAGCACATTCTCCTTTGTTGGTGCTACACTGTTGGTTTTGTTTTTAGACTGTTGCTCTGTTTGTTGGAGCATCCCGAGCAGCCAGACACAACAACACTGGATCAGCCCAGAGCCGTAACCAGCGTAGACAGTGAGGGGGGCAAGTTTTAGGCTGGTGTTCCTCAGTGGTCTAACAGTGTTCATCAATGTCAAAATAATGGCCAAACTAATCAAAGTACACTCTTAAAAATAGAGGTGCTTCACGATGCCATAGGAGAACCTTTTTGTCTAAATGGTTCCATAAAGAACCTTTAACATCTGAAGAACCTTTCTGTTTCACAAAAGGTTCTTTGTGGCGAAAGAAGGTTCTTCAGATTATAAAAAGGTAAGAAAGAGATGGTTCTTTAAAGAACCTTGGACTAAATGGTTCTTTGTGGAACCAAAAAGGGTTCTTCTATGGCATCGCTTGAAGAACCTTTTGAAGCACCTTTATTTTTAAGAGTGTAGGCGGAGTTTACTGTTCGCAAGCAGAGTGCGAATTCCAGCGCAAAGCTTCAGTTTTAACACGTACTGGTAAAAAATGTATAGCCTGAATGCACTGTAAGTCGCTTTGGATAAAAGCATCTGCTAAATGCATAAATAATTGTTTTTATTTAAATGTATTTAACATTGAAAGAGAGTAGAGTAAAGAAGAAGTAAAACATTTAATATTTGACAACTTAATTTTTTAAATGACCGACGGTAATATCCAGCGACTTTTTTCTCTCAAATATTGCTGTTTTGGTATCATTTATGTGTAATTTATTTAATTCCTAACTGAATGCGAGGAGACAAGAAATGTTTGGGGTGTTCGACATATTAGGCACACAAATAAGAGTGAATGTGTGTATATTTAAAAATATTATTTTCAAATTGTTAAAAATGATTACTTCCATACTAGAATTAGTGCATTTCCTTTACCATTCTAATAGATTCTGTCCCTTTATACGTTAAGGTTCAAGACATCATTATGGCCTTGGATCAACCAATGACATTTGGACTGGAATTGTTTATAAATGTAGTTAGAGCTTAATTTTGAAGTATTTTTGATTTGTGGAAAAAGTCTAATTGTATAATTGTTTATATGTAACCCTGGACCACAAAACTTAAGTCTTAATTCGCTGGGGTATATTTGTAGCAATAGCCAAAAATACATTGTATGGGTCAAAATTATTTATTTTTCTTTTATGCCAAAAATCATTAGGATATTAAGTAAAGATCATGTTCCATGAAGATATTATGTAAATGTCCTACTGTATATAATCACGGTTTGTGTAGCTGAATAGTCACTAGATGAATTACTATAATCAGTTTAATGGATCAGTTTATGGCAAGGATAAAAACACTCTACAGTGGAGGCTTTACAGCCAATATTGCAACATTAGTTTAAAACTTAATTTCTGATTAGTAATATGCATTGCTAAGAACTTAATTTGGACAACTTTAAAGGCGATTTTCTCAATAGTTCGATTTTTTTGCACCCTCAGATTCCAGATTGTACAATATTATTATTGTTGTTGTTGTAATTATAACAATAATTAATAATAAT